TGTGTGTGTGTGTGTGTGTGTGTGTGTGTGTGTGTGTGTGTGTGTGTAGATCCCGGAGTCAATCATTTCTCGAGGCGTTCAGGTGCTGCCTCGAGATTCCGCCTCTTTAAGCTCCACCCCTTCCGAGTCACCACGGGCAACACAGGCCACCTCCCGCCTTTCCACCGCCTCATGCCCGACACCCAAGGTACACGTATGCTTTCATACACACAGACACACACACACACAAATTAGCACTAAGAAATAAGAATCTCTGAAATTGAAAGTCTTTCAACCATAAAGAAATGTATATTAAAAAAACAATTTGCATGAAATTTTAAGTTTTTATATATATGCTTTTCAAGACTCCTATGTAAATAACATTTGTATGCTATCTCAGCAGTTCCTAATAAAAAACAAACCGATAAAGGACAGTTCATGCATGACTAGAGTTTTTGCTGATTTCTTTTCTTATTATGACAAACTCCCAGTAAAGATGAGGTTGCCAATTTGAATTCCTAGCTTTAAAAAAAACAAGATTTCTTTCGGATTGTTTCGAGAGTTGTTTGGTCCCACTAAAACCCCTAAGATCCCTTACCAAATGGTATAAGTGTTGAGGATGAGCAAAGTAAATGTGACCCCTAATTCTGTCTTACTTTGGCTTTCAAATATTTATGTGAGACCAAACTGAAAAGTTGTCAGTCGGACGTGACTGTCGGCCTCTCTCTCCCAGGGATGGACTACCCATAGGTTAAAAGTCTCCGGGCCTCGTGTGCTGTTTGGAGTTGAATGGGAGTGAATGAGACTGTTTGGCAAAACTGAAATGTAAATATCTTCAGTTGTGGTACATTCACGTAAAATTTGTCCCAATTGATATCAAGAGATTGGATATGGGGGGGAACAAAAGCTCTTGAGAGTTTTCTTAAAGGTCATATTTAAATGACTACAAACTATCATATGATAGATAGTGGCCCCTATTTACCTAAAATGAAAAGAGATTCAGGCTTTAATTTATGCAACAAGCTTTTAGGCCTTTATTTGAAGGCCTCATTTTGTTTTTTCCTTTCATGTAAATACTGATTATTACATCATATTTTAGTAACAACTGTTTTCCCATCTGCCACTATTTTAATTAGGTTTTAATGCAAACTCAAAACTTTCAACAGCACTACTTCCATCAGTACAACAACACATTCATGTCTCACTCACCACTTTGCATATCTGAATAATTGCAACCTTCAGTGCGTGGACTATCGTTCCTTTTCCTTTGTAGGCTTTTATTTTGAAATATGAGCACAGGATAAACTTAAAAGTAGAGATTGGAATTGATTAGCGAATGAAAACAGTGTTTCTGTGGAAAGGAAGAAGTGAGAGCAGCAGAGTGGTGAGTAGGACATGACTCAGTTGGCATTAGTGCTGAGTTTACCAAGTTAGTTAAACGTATACAGGAATTTCTACCAATCCTCAGTGATTTTTAATTGTCCTTTATTGTTGACCGGCCTTCTTTTGTTAGTACCGGACATGTCTATTATTTGAATTCTGGCTTTATTCAAGAATTTGCCTTTTTTTCTTTCTTTATATTCAATGGCAACCACGGTTATTAACATTTAAATCAAGACAAAGAGACAACTCAGGAAAAAGAGTGTTGAAAATGATAATAAAAGCAGTAAACAAGTATGATATATGCTGAAGGTAAAATGTCATCACAGGTTTTACAAACTGTTTTGATAACGCTCCGCTAGGAGAGGAACTTCCACAGCAGATGTGGACAACGCACCGGCAGATATTCTGTGTGCGATTTAAGGAACAGAATTGGACTGATGCATCAATCAAACCCGGCTTGAACGTCTCAGCTGGAATTCGTGTTACTTATGTATCCATGTCCTGTGTCTTAAACGTTATTAATAGAACATGAACGCCTTTGGCCATACTGTCCTGTTATGGAGGAGAGGCGATGAAATCATCCTCATGAAATCATCCTTTGCATCAAACAATGACCAAATATAGAATAACTGTCCTGTCTCTCTGCAGGTTCAGTCACGATGTGGCAGTAATGAGAACATTCTGAGAGCCAGTAAGTTCAGCGTGTGTGTGTGTGTGTGTGTGTGTGTGTGTGTGTGTGTGTGTGTGTGTGTGTGTGTGTGTGTGTGTGTGTGTGTGCGCCTCATTAACATGCCAGCCTTGCACCAGTAACTTACATCTCTGTGTTTAAATGTTTAAACTTTGTGGTATTGTTTATAGTAACATATTCTCCACTCACTCACGTCTATTCGTGCGTGTGTGTGTGTGTGTGTGTGTGTGTGTGTGCATATAGGCCACAGTGCGGTGGACATCAGCAAGGTGGCACGTCGTCATCGCATGTCTCCGTTCCCGTTGACGTCAATGGACAAAGCCTTCATCACTGTTCTAGAGATGACACCTATTCTGGGAATTGAAGTCATTAACTACAGAGGTGAGTCCTCAGAGTGTGTGTGTGTGTACTGTAAATATGTGCGTTCTGTTCAGTTTTATGCACAGACATGTAGATATTATTGCATTGTCATGTTTGTTGTTGGTAATAATAAAGTGTGCACTAAAACCGACATGGCTCGGCTCATCTCTGCAGACGGTTTGGGTCGAGTGCTCGCTCAGGACATCTATGCCAAAGACAACCTTCCTCCATTCCCTGCTTCCGTTAAAGACGGCTACGCTGTACGAGGTGAGACCCCTGATGCCGACCACACAACGTCCGATAAACACTACGTCAGGGGACACGGCTGTAAAACGGGATCTATGAAAACGCCCTTCAATTTGACCTGGCTGACATCTGCATTCATCCACGCATTTACATGCTTTCACTTCTTGGCATTGAGTGAATTAGACTGTTGCACTGTATGTAAGCTGTCCTCTTTGCTGCCACTTAAATATTAAAACATCTATTGTCGTGGTCTAATTTCATGGATCCCACGTTCCACCGTGTGACCCATCCTGTCCAGGCCACCACCACTTGATTCAAAAACGTCATCTTTCCTACAGCAGTCAGAAGATGGAACTCCCCACGCCAGCCCCCTTTACCACAAGTTCCCCGTAAACTGACCCGTACTGCTCTGCAGGCTCTGGACTGAACATGAACTGGACTTGTTTGCACCTAAATTGTATCCCAATTGATATCAAGGGATTGGCTATGCGGGTAAAATTGAAAAACATAATTTAATTTTGTGAGAATTTTCTTATGTTTAAATGACTGAAAACTCTCATATGATAGTGGCTTTTATTTACCTTAAATGCAAAGAGATACAGGCTTTTATTTATCCAACAAGCTTTTAGGTCCTTATTTCACATTTTGTCCTGTCTATGTACTAATTATTATATCATATTTTAGTAACAAGCCTCCCTGTTTTCCCATCTGCTACCATTTAAATTTGCTGTTAGTGCAAACTTAAAACTTTCAACAGCACTAATTCCATCAATACAACAACAGATGTATGTCTTACTCACCAGGGAACTGACCTTAAACTGGACATCAATCAGTGTACTTTTTGCCCGTTGGGTTACTTGGTATGCTGGGCATCATATCATGTGTTTTCACTGTACATATTTTCACATTCATGCGTAGGGATAAGGGTGCGTTTATTTATCAATACTCTTATCGGTTCTTTTTCATAAATAAATAATTGCTTTTTTAATTTAGTTTTTTAGAAAAAAAATAAATTGAGAACAGGATTAGAATGTATTCATTCACACAGACAGCTTTTGTTTGACAACTTGCTGTTAGCCGAGCCAGCGCTCTGTGCTTGTGTAAACATAGCGACGGCGGATGACGGAGCAGATTGAAATATCTCTTCTCTTCATGTTTATGCTTCATGAACAGGTGTATTTATATAGTGTTGGCTTTTTACTGCACTTAAAGTACAGTAACAAGCATAATTGTCACAATAATCTTCACCTCTCCTGGTTCACTTCACTGTCTCCACACGGCCACACTGCTCTGCTGTTGGCTGACTTCCCTACTGTGCTGTGCCGAAACAATTACCACTGACACAATAACAAAGTATCTTATCTTGTATTTTCTGTAATGAACCTAATCAACATGGTTGTCGTTTAACCCGTAGCTGCCGACGGCCCTGGAGATCGCTTCATCATGGGAGAATCACAGGCCGGACAACAGGTCAGCTATTAATACTCTATTGGTAGTGTTACAGTCCAGAGTAATACAACCTAGCACCATTAGTGCGCTTTAGCAGTGTAGGTACCAGCACTGCTAACAATCACTACTGTTAGCACTTCTGCTCATACAAATCCCACCAACTACATCAAGCACGGTGAGTAAACACTGCTGAAATAAATATACTGTGATAATAAGGGTGCTACTGAAATGGTGAATGCGGGTGTGTCTGTGTGATTTAATAAACACACTCTCAGCAAGTCTGATCATATCATCCCACTGATGTTGCCAATCATCTTTTGAAACTAATTCATGATTCAATGTGCGCGCGTGCAGCCCACACACACAGTGATGCCAGGTCAAGTGATGAGGGTGACGACCGGGGCTCCGATTCCTTGCGGAGCCGACGCAGTGGTCCAGGTGGAGGACACAGAGCTGCTGAGGGAGTCTGAGGATGTGAGTACACGAGTGAGGGTGTTACCTTGAGTGCTGTCTAGTTTAACCGTATACGAGTTGTTGTCAGCAGGCATGGCAATATTGAGTCTGGCTTATTTCAGGGCACAGAGGAGCTGGAGGTGAGGATTATGGTCCAGGCCCGGCCCGGACAGGACATCAGGTAAAAACAGCACAATGTGCGAAAGGAACTAAGTGAAGGCTAATGACTTTTAGCCTGATTCGACTGTCGATTCTCACAGTGGGATCGTTGCAGTGACGGAAAATGTGTCTGAAACAAAGGATCATTCCATTCTGGCTACATGGGGGTGCTGAATGTCAGATTTTACATAGAACTGCTTGGTATCTCTCAATAAATCACGATGTATAGCCTTTTTTGGTCTGAATTAATCCTATTAATAATACCTTGTCATAAAATTTGAAAATAAGTCATGTGCTTTTCAATCAGCCGTTTTAGTGTGTTTAAATAGATCACCATGAAGACTAAATTCCACCATCCAAATTAACGGGACCATCAGAGCGGCATCTTGTCCATAGCCTCAGAAAGGATCAAATAACAACAGCATAAGGCTACCATTTCAAAACCAAATAATACATTGATTAATCAGAGCGAAATGTATTTTGAATTTATGAAGATTGTTTGTCAGATCAGCATGCTGGAGGCATGTAGACAAAGCTGTCTGTCTATTGATCTTGATCTTCGTGAGGCCGGGGCTGGCGAAGAGGAGAAAACGCCAGTTATAAAATAATTTCTTACACAAAAGTCAAGAAAAAGTATTGTATTATTGGGTGTTTCAGCTCTTTTGTTTGGTGTGGAAGAGATGAAAGCTAATGTCCCGAATGAGAATGTGGATCAATGGCAAAAAAAACACACGATTATTTGATAAGCACAACCAATCAGATTCGACTGTGTAAATTCTAAGTAGTAATTCAAAGCTGCATCAGAAAGCAACTAGCATATTATGATGTAACGTGTTTGTGTGTGTGTGTCTGCACAGGCCCATAGGTCATGACATCAGGCGAGGGGAGTGTGTGTTGGCCAAAGGGACACACATGGGCCCATCAGAGATCGGCTTGCTGGCTACAGTGGGAGTGACCGAGGTCAGCGTGCAGAAGTTCCCTGTGGTGGCCGTCATGTCCACCGGAAACGAGGTACGCGCACATAAACGGCTCGGGAAAATACACACAGGCTTGGCTTTAAAATCGTTGCATTTAGAGTTTTTCGGGATTCTTCTGTCCTTGTGTGTGTGTGTGTGGTATGTAGCTGTTAAATCCAGAGGATGATCTCCACCCAGGGAAAATCCGAGACTCCAACCGCTCCACCCTGCTGTCCACCATCCAGGAGCACGGATATCCAACTATCAACCTGGGCATCGTTGGAGACAAGTAGGAGCCTTATAGGTTTACACAAAAATACAGCGCAGACTACATTTGATCGAGAGCTTTGCTACCAGTCCTTTTGACCAAAAAAAAAAAGTCGAAATCAACTGAGGAAATATATGTGAAAGTATACAGTAAAAAAACAAAACACAGTTTGCAGCATGCACAAGTACTCTGCCTGCAGCGTTTGGGCTATAAGGTGCGTATAATTTCATTCATCACCTTTTGGTTATAGAGATACATTGAATATACATACAATACATTTGTTCTCATTTCATTCCAGTTTCCAGTCAGCACATTCTCAGGCAGCTCAAAACAACTGAAACACAGTTAATAAGCTATTGGAGAAGTACTTTTTACTCCTGGGCTAAACTGAAGAAGTTAATGCTCTGTCCCTAGTGAACAGGCAGTCTGGGAAATTTAGGAAAACATGAACTGCAGCAGACTGAAGATGAGGCATGTCAAAAAGTAAACTGCTACAAATTTTATATTTACATGTTACAAAATAACTAATAATACAACTAATACGAAGTACTTATGAGTACTCATTTGATGTTGCACTTAATTAAGCAGTGGGCAAGAGACAGAGTGAAAAAGAACGGTCTGAACGAGGAGTCCCTAGTACGGGTCAAGCTTCAGAAAAACATGGATCCTTCACTTCCCACACTGCCACTTGATTGCGTCTTTTTTTCAGAACCTTCATTGCCTGGTGAACACCCACATCTTTCAAGTTCCACATCTCAGTTTGTAATGCAGGCTTTCCGTTAATGATGTGGCTTCCCCTCACAGCCACAGAAGATGTTACACAGCAGTGTCCATAGGCAGCATAGTAGCGCTCCCCATTAAATAGTAAACTGAGGATCCTCTATCGTTGCAGCCCTGATGACCTGCTGTCAGCTCTCCATGAGGGAATCAGTCGCGCCGATGTCATCATCACCTCAGGGGGTGTGTCCATGGGAGAGAAGGTAACTGTTTCACCTCTGACCCGTCTCCTCTAACTTACTGAATAATTCACAGACTCGTCAACCTTTTTTTAACTATGTATTTGTTTGCCGACTGTTTATCCTCCAGGTTAGTTTTTCTGCTCTACCAACATCGGAAAGCAGCACTGTCTCACAGTTAATTCAGCTTCTACAGTGTTCTCAATCTGTGTTTGTGTGTCTCATCAGGACTACCTCAAACAGGTGCTGGATATTGACCTTCATGCTCAGATCCACTTTGGACGAGTCTTTATGAAGCCAGGGTGAGATGGGGGAGAGGGGTGGAGGAGTGTGGCCTGGGGGTAAATAAAAATGGGGGAAAGATGATTTTACATGCAAACTCGTTTTCTCATTGACTCAATTACTGTTCCTATGAGTCATGCTGCTGATTGTGCTGCTACTAATGCTAATCCTCCTACCTCTGCTACTACTGCTAGAGAGCTGCAAGGAATGTTGGAAGTCCAGCAGGAAGTTAGCATCACACTGGTTCCCTTTACAGAAAGCCAAAGGGATCTTTTCCTTGGATTTTGGATTATTGCAGAAAATAAGCTCTGTGGCAAACAAATGTTTATGATACTTACACATTTTGTTGTGCAAGATTGTCTTCAGAAATCAACACCACTTTTATGATTTTTGAAGCATAAATGCAATCGGCAGAAATAGAAAGCTAGCATTAGGCTATGCAAGAACTCCACCACGGTCACATGACTTCACGTCACCACCACTAAGCTAAAGGAGGACTAGTGATCTGGTAATGACGTTTAGTCATCTCATTTAGACTCTTGTTAGCATTTTTTAAGAAAAATAAAATCTTCTAATTTCACAAGAGGGGTATTTACTGACTTATTTTATATTGTAAAACAAAACGTTAAAATATCTTCAGGTATCTAACCAAAAGCACACAAAAACACAAGTGCAAAAATGCTGACTCATTTCTGGGTTTTAAGAGTCATTCCTGCACCACTCTATACAGTTTCTACTAGTACTACTACTATTGCTTCTTTTTCTTCTATTGCTGCTACTGCTTTAAATACTTACACTAATGTTGTTGCTGCTACTCCTATTTATATTATTACTACTGCTTGTACTGCTTCAACTACTAATAATCTAATACTACTTTGGTCACTAATCCTTCTACTTATACTTCTGCTGCTACTACTACTGCTGCTACCGCTACTAATGTTGCTGCTAGTACTGCTTGCGCTACCACCCCTATTATTGTAACTACTACTTATTTTACTGCTTTTACTACTGTTTACTACTACTACTACGGCTACTCCTGTTGTTGAAGCTACCACTGCCTCTGGTGACATCGAGAGGAAAAAATAACGACCCGTGTGTTTCTGTCCCTCAGTCTTCCTACTACCTTTGCCACAGCTGACATCGATGGAACACGGAAACTTATCTTTGCTCTGCCAGGTAGCATATTTATGTCTCTAGTCAGTGTGTGTGTGTGTGTGTGTGTGTATATCTCCTTGTTGTCTAATACCTGGACCATCTCTTGACACCCCACTGCTTTGCCCTGCAGTTATTTTGCTAGCATGGTGTTGTCGTTCAACAGTGGTGGTTCCCAACCCGGGGTCCGGGTCCCACTCAGGGGGGGCGTCAAAGATCACAGCGGGTGCGCTGTGATTTGTCTGCGCTCTGAGGTTATCATTTGTATGAATAAAACACATTTACTGGATAATTAAGTCTATAAAAGTATTTCAAAAATATATATTCAATTTGTCCTCAGTCAAAAATAGTTCTGTTTAAACCTGGTATATGTGCACAGTGTTGGAGAACAGATCAGTATTAGTATTACACTACATGTAGAATTAGATTCCAGTAGTGGCTGTGTAGGATTGTCTCTGACTCGTATCCAAACACTTCCAGTAACTCTGGAGCGTTTAAGTTCAAAAATAAAATCTATGAAGATGCCATCACTTCATTTACGTTGACGAAAGTGACGGGATACATTCATTTATAAAAGTTGATTTGATAAAAACAGACTAACCCATTTAATACGCTGAACCTCATTATTCAAATTGAGGAGTTTGTTCAGGGATTTCTAATCTTTTTAAGGAGGAGGGGAATCAGCTTTTCATAGATACGAGTAGGGGGCGCTTCAAGGGGAAAAAGGTTGACCTTGACCCTGGGAGCCACTGGGTTCAGGCGTGATCTCTTTCATGATACAGTACATCATTTCAAGTATTTGACCATTGAGACCCAGTTGAAGCTAGTGATTGATTCATTGAAGAAAAAACAACAAGAACGTACAAGAAAGAGTGGGTTTTACAGGCAGAATAAAACAAAAGAGTGACTCTTAACTTCTTTTGGCCCTTGTTTCTTTGGGGTTTGGGAGTTTTGATTTTAGGTGCGATTGATTAGCAACAGCAGAATAAGCTGTTTGGCATTGGCAGAGAAGATTTGGCAAATTTTTCATGGGTGCTGCTCATCCCAGAAATGCATGTTCCTTACAAATGGGGCACCATTTAAAAGGTAACTAAACAGGCTTTCCAACGGTATAAAATTCATTGCCAAGAAGCATTGTTACAACAGAGAAATAATCTACCAAACACTAATTTCCGAACTTTTTGTTCGATGTTTATATTAAACTTTATCTTTTGAATGGATGTCTCCCCAGTGGTCTGGGCGCTTTAAGCCTCGGTTGCTTTCAGGTTCATCTTTTTCCACTCACCTCTCTCCACTCAGCATTCTTAATCTCTAAATCAGAGGTAGCCAACACGGTGCCCGCCGGGGACCACGTGAGTCGCCGGCAAGGCATGTTCTAAAAATAGCACTAGTCACCATGGAGCTCCGTCTTAAATTGTAGTTGCTGTTCTTTTTTTAATCGAAAACGCTTGCATTAGTGTAGATTTTAAAATGACAATATTTCTTGTCATAAGAGAGTTGGGTACCCGGAGGCGCACGGCGGACAGCCAGGACGAGGCCGCTGCAGTAGGTTTTCAGGTTTCGCGTCTGGCGCTTCCCGTTGGCGCCAGACGCGCTATGTGCAAAAGTAACTGGCTTTGATCATATGATGATACAAATATATCAGAGATGTGATACCTCTGACTTTCAAATGTTGAAACAGATTAACAAAAATAAAAGTTGCATGTTTAAATATATATGTATAGCTATACCATCATTGTTGTGGAAATCATCATTATTAGTAATTATTGTGAGGAATAATTAACTGACATGTGATCAAACAGTTTCTTCACATATATTATTAATATTAAAAAGTGATCTGTGCAACTTTGTTATTCAAGAAGTTTGTATCAAACAAGTAGCCCTTCGTACTACTCGGTACCCTTGAAGTAGCTCTCAGTTTAAAAAAGGTTCGTGACCCCTGCTCTAAGTGATACCAACGTTTTATGGGCAGCTCGCTATTGATAGCTAGCGCTCTTTAACAAGCCATACACTGAAGCTGCAGTGAGACACTTGCGTAACCCCGGTTCTCTGAGTAGCACGAGTAAGTTTGTCAATGTGAGACAAAAAAAACCTGAGCTTCTAGTAAAGTTCATCATATTTCATTCATGTCTCAGTCCATTTTAGTTTGATTGTAGTTATTTTGGTACCAAAAAGCACTTAATTTTGTTTTCCCAATGAAAAGATTACACTGGTTAGAAATGGGCAGAACTGTCCTTTGAAGAGCTGCCAACAAGACAACAACAAGACTTTAAAAATGATTGGCTTGTAAAGCTGCTGTAGAACCCCCAGTCTCTCTTTGACTAAAGCACCTTTCCTGTTGTGCTGTTTAAAACATTTAAAAGCATTTCCACCGTTTTCAGTGCTAGTTGCCATGGTAATGTAAAGGAATCCTACAGTATAGTGTGTCCTGTGGCCTTAGTCTGGGGCCCCTGTGATTTGAAGTGTGGTCTTTGCTCCGGTCCGGCACTGTACATGTATTGCTATTGTTATTAAAGGAAACTTCAACTTCAGAGAGACTGGGCCCTCCCTGCTGGAGGTCGTAGCCCCGAGTGAGGCCAGGCAACCACTAACCCCTGCACCTAGAGGAAGTAGGTCCTGATGCTGAACCCACAATGACCCATAAATAACCTCTGACTGCACAGCTCCCCTTTTCATCCTGCTACTTCTGAATGACCTTTAAGCCCAAACGGAAACATTAAAATGCGATATGTCTTGGATGTTGCAGTGAACATAACCAAAGATTAAAGTGTACAAATTCAGTATTTCTGATTGCAACTTACTGTTGCTTCCCACACATACTCTGCGTTTTTCATTGAAGCAATGTTAAATATAGTAATAAAGTTAACGATGATTCGAACTTAATACATGTCTGTATTTTTACTTCAGCATTTCAAAGATTGTGCAATGTGCATATAAGCCAGTAGATCTTGACCACAGGCCTCAAACAACTGAACTCTACAAATCCTTTCTCACTTTGCCTTTAGAACACTGATCATACCCTCCGACCCTCAATGACCCCTAGAGATCACAAAAGTGTCCTTAGATCACCCATCTAGCGTCTGTATAGCTACAAAACCCTACCTCCAAGTAACCTTCAGTTGATTGACCGATGATTCCAAGTGATAGCCTCTTAAGTCCAATACCTTGAAACCTGTGGTCTAGTTATACTCCTGCTCATATTCTGGATGGCCCAGCTTCTTGCTCTGGTCAGCTGTCATAATGACATCCCCCCCCCCCCCCGACCCTCAGTCACTTCTGTCACTACCTGCTTATCCAGAACTCATTTCATGCTGCGATCACCTGGGATGTCTGCCAGCTGCCAGCCAATAGAAAACTGCATTTGTAATACCTGGGGTTTTTAGTCAGGAGAGGACAGTGTAGAATTCATATACTTTGCTGTAAGATGTCAAGATGAGGACTGAATCCATCAACAACACTATTTAATATACATGCACGTTGGTTTTCTGCTGAATAAAGTGGTGTGGGGATTTAGTTGCTCTTTAATGTTGTTATGTCTGCTGTTAAAGACAACTGATGGCTGTGGTAGTCCACACAGCCGCCTGTTCAACAGATACATTTGATTTGTTGTTTGCCTAGATGTGTCTTAAGTTTGTATATTTGCACCTGCAATCACAACACTCCTCCAATGAGATCTGTTTTCTTTTTTTTTTGCTTCTTCAGATGTGTTGCACACATGACATTGCTTTGATCTTGCGAACTTGAAACAGTTCCAATCTGTTAGCATTCTGATAATTGATTGACATGTACGTTACTGTCTTGAAGACATGTTCACAGTTCTCATACTCAGCCAGACTTTTAATGTGGTTGTGTTGGACGCGTAATCTGGACAAGGTCTCCCGTGTTGGTCATGACTAAGACGTCAAGATACATTTATATTGAGTACAATACATGTACGGGGGTGTTTCTGGGTTACACTAGTGTTAAGAGATAAAAGCAGCTAGCACACCTGTACAGGAAAACATGTTTCATGCAAATGGAGACACGGAGCGGATATTAGTGTTTGTATATAGTGGACATGTGCACTGTGTAACTTCATTCGCCATAGTAACCCGGTATTGTGTTGTTTTTTCAGGTAACCCAGTGTCTGCAGTAGTGACATGTAACCTGTTTGTGATTCCTGCTCTGAGGAAGATGCAAGGCATTCTGGACCCTAGACCTACAATTATTAAAGCTAGGGTAACACACACGCACACACACACACACACACATTTCTACGGGCTCCAACCGACCTTTGACCTCCCTGTGGAGAGGAGATTAAAAGGAGAACGTCCCTCTAGAATTCAATAGTGACCGTCCACTTTCTGAACGGCTCCGTTTCCAAAGTGGAATTCCCATTCATTCACTCTGTTGTCTTTTCAGAAAATCCTTTACATAAAGAGTTAATTAAACCAACCACGAACTCAATCATGACCTAGAAAACATTTGATTTAGCAAAAAAAAGGTACAAGACTGTGTACATAATTATTTTAAAAGTGAAGGAACTACTCATCCCATAAACCATTGCGAATGGCAAACGCCGCCTCAGGAAACTCCCGAAAAACTTCTAAAGTTTCTAAACATCTAAAATGAAGAGGTAAACATTTCCATTGTAACAGTGAGCTCCACCAATCAGAGAGCTCGTTGCTACTGTTGAAGATATTGGGTGGTGTAGTACTTCTCCACAACATTGCAAATGTGTTTCTTAAAACAAGGTTGACGTCACACAGACTTTGATCTTCTACAGGAGCATCTACCATCGTTTGACAATCTCATAGCTAGTGGTGAGTCTACCTTGGATGGTTACAACATTATGGCCAATAATTATAATCCAGAATATGAAGGGTTTTCTTTACTTCTGGAATCTCACTGTTGAGCTCTACGGGGGAACTATAATATAGTATGTCACATTAAGTAACTGAGTACTTTCTGTGAATAATGAAATGGAAAAATCCACAGTTTGAAAAAAAATGCATCTCAGAACCCATCAGCCCATCACAGCTTTTAACAGAAACCTACAAGCAGAGGTCTGTGCAGAAATGAATGCCGTTCACTGTCAATGGTAATCAATAACATTTAGTGTACAGACACGAGAGTGGTGTTGATCTTCTTACTCCCAGAAAATAGTGTGAAGCAATGTACCAAGACAACATTGGTTTTATTCAAGTAATACCTGTAAATTTGAGGTTTTGGACTATGTAAAATCTAAATTTGATAAGTCCTTGACATTATATATGTGTGTGTGTTTGTGTGTATTTCAGCTTTCCTGTGACGTGAAGCTGGATCCCAGACCAGAGTACCACCGCTGTATTCTCACCTGGCATCACCAGGAGCCACTGCCCTGGGCACAAAGTACAGGTAGGCACTGGACACACACACACACACACACACACACACACACACACACACACACACA